GGCCCGCCATATCATTTGATATGGTCCACCAGGGCTCATCATGCGTATAGTTGTCCTGAAATAAATGACTATCTTAAAGAGTCATAATTATTGATTATGGATGGGTACAGCGCAGTGCAGGAGTTATTCACAAAGCTTCTTCTTAAAATTCCGATTCTAATCAAGCCCGTGTTTACATTTGTGTACAAAACCCACAAATCTCCCATAATGTACATTGATTTTGTGACCCACATCGTGAAAGACGCAATTGATGGTTCAATAAATGTCAAACCCTGTTTGAACCACAACGTTTTTGCATGATTACATTTAACACCCCTACTCTACATCCATCCATCCATCCATCCATTTTCATCCGCTTATCCGTTACCGGGTCGCGGGGGCAGCAGTCGCCACCCAAATCACACTGCACCGTACCAACCCCCAATCCTTCCTGCAGGCGAGTCCACTGGAAGGTACCAACCGCCCTAACTGGGATTCGAACTTTCCCAGGAGGTGAACACACCAATGACAGAGACATTGCTTCTGGGCCAAAGCGCCACCCTACTCTACATGATTTTTTTCCCCATATATGTATCAAAGAAATGCTCTCTCTTTCAATTTACATTGATTGTGTGATTTTTTTCAACAATTCTGCCCTGGCACCTGTCTCTTAAGACAAACTTTTGGGCCAGTAAAAAAACACCACGAGTAACTAGGCTAGCAAACAGAGCAAGACTTTTGACACAATGTCTACAGTAGACCATGGCAAACTACGGTCCATGACCCAGATGTGGCCCGCTGGGCTTTCTAATCCAGTCCACCAAATACTGGTACAAGGTATGGTAAACCATGGCAAACTATGGCCTGAGACCGAGATGTTGCCCGCTGGGCTTTCTAATCCAGCCCACCAAATACTGGTACAAGGTATAGTAAAGGCTTATTTCAATCCTTCTGTTTCATCCATTACGAGAATTCGACTGTGATTTCTGTTGATGGCACTAAATGGCAAAATGTGCCAAATTATCTTTGAAAGTTTAAATGTTATTCTTGTACAGTTTATTCAAATGATCCTAGGGTATAATATGTTTGAGATACAGCCAGGTTCACATAGCTCAACTAACTGAAAAAATCTTGAGAGTAGCAATCCGCAGTTAGCTGCAGTACTCCCCTTTGCTACACAGGGCTTTGTTGGAAGACGGTTCCTTAAAAGAGAGGAAGCCCTGAGAGAGACTACTTTAAAGGAACGGATGTGAGTCGTCCACATGGGGGAGGACATTGAGGGACTAACAATCTGCCTGACGGACAAACTCTGCCTGAAGAGGACACAAAAAAGGCCATGAAGGCACCACAGCGTGAGATCAAAGTCTGCCTAAGGGAGATAAAGTGGAGTTACAGGAAGCCGCATGAAAACTAAATAAAGGAAGTCTGAAAATGATCACAAGGACTGGATTTGTGGTCGGTTGTAGAAGACAGCACTGAACAAACTGTCCTTCCTGGACAACGTCAAGCCTTTAGCGTTCAAAGTTTATTTTTTAATAGCCCTTTTTTTTAAGAAAATGTAATAATCCCTTTGACACCGTGACATTATATTGTACATCTGGACATATAGGAGGTATAGGAACAGGGCAGGACATAGAACACAGCCGATGACCATCACGTTACACATTCAAAACAAAGAGGCGTAAAATTTTATTTTTAGGGCTGTTATTAGCGCAATTCCGTATTTTCGATAACAATCATGATTGGTTTTTCTTCTGATAATAAAAACCCGAAAATGCAACGCCTGGATTTTGCCCACATGATGTGACCTAAAAATAGTTGTAAAGTTAAAGTGGAACTATTATTTGTATTGGGCATAATATTGTCATTGTGTCATTTAACCTAAATGGCTGCATCTATCAGTATCAGTTGATATTGGAATTGGAATGATTTCATCGCCAATATCCGCATATGGATATCGGCAAAAAGTTAATATCAGACACCCCTAATATTTAATATGATGTGGTTTTGTATTTCTTGATAATTCCTCTACAGCTGTTACCATTTTCTAAGTCTACTTCATGTCAGTTCTACAACCACAGTTGCTACTTTTAAACAAATCTCTCATGGAGTTTATTCAATAAAGCAACTATTTTTGATGTGTAATTCTGTACACCTAATACTTCCGTACATTGATACACCTGCACTAGCCTTAAAGATATCCTGCAATTCACACACATTTATGACTTTCTTTTTTTTAACTCATCTTATGGGGCTGTTCACTGAATCTTGAATTGCCCCAAAGAGAAGCTCCCTAAAGGAGCAGTAAAATAACTTTATATCTATTGATCTACATATCCATCTGAGCCAGGAGTCACATTTAATTCTTCAAATGTCCCTTTGAGCTCTCGGGATAGTTTAAGTGTCACATGTAAATTGATGCCTTCAATGACGGACATCAGTGATCTGAGGCACAGTTGATAACGTTCGCTGTTAATGAGAGCAGTGACAGATTGATAAGGATACTTTTCCAAGTACACCCTCGTCTACTTTTAGGTCAGCCGTCTCAATGTCTAATTTTTCGCAAAATTTTAAACAAATCTCTGGGGTTTTCCTCTTGCCTAGCAGCTGCTCTATCGTTCCTCGTCCCATATATCTAGTAGTTCTCTTCAAAACATAGCCAAATGTCCCATATATATAGTAGTTCTCTTCAAAACATAGCCAAACCATCTCGGCCTGCTTTCAATTGCATTGTAAAAATCGAGGAAAACAAGTGAGGAATTCACTGCTTTCAATGGGGAGCTGTTCGGAACCTTCCACAACCGCTGTTTTGTCTTTAGTTCATTGATTTCTGATGCACAGATATGTTGTATATTTGTTTAAGCTACTTGTTCCCAATATACAGTATATATATATATATATACTTGCACAAATATGACCTGTATTTGACAAGTATACTCCTCAAAATGTTGTTTAAAGGATGTATTTTTCCAAGAGGTCCTGTACAGGTTGTGTAAGCGATCATTCAGCATTAAGGTTGCTGTAAAACCGATGTGTGTCTATGTGACTGATTAAGAGACTCCTGTAATTCCCCTTCCTCCACTGTGGAAGTGATGGGCTGTTCATCTAACTCCAGGCCACGGTCTGACAGAATTCTAATCCCACCCTAAGAAAAAGAGCTCTCAACTAGAGGATACAGGATATTTTCTTTAACTTGTTTTTGTGGAGAAAAAGATCAAGCTAAAATGACCTTGTAAACTGTGAGGTCTCTGTAATTTTCTTTTGTAAAACTGAGGCACAGCCAATTTAAAAATATAATAACAATAATTATAATTACAGCACAGTTTGGCAAGCAAATGCACGAATTGCACTTTGCTGTGCAATGTGAGAGTGAGTTGCCTACCAATAAAGATCATATTTCCAGTTGTCTGGTCCATTTAGCATTTAGTTTAACAAGGGCTTCCTGTCTTTCATGAACACTCGAAAAGCAAAGATCACGAAATCCTATTTGGAAAAAATAAAATTCAAATATAAAGTAAAAAGCAGTAATAGTAATAACATGAACCACCATAACACAGTATTAGTTTGTAAATTACCAAGAGAGTGCCAGTACAAGAGGCCAGATGGCGCGGCATTACATGAATTAATATAAATTTCTTTTTTTTTTTTTTGAGCACAAGCCAAACACACACAGCAGATACAACATAGCATTTTCACACAATGCATGTCATGATGGTGTCTTGTAATTGAATTACTTGGGTTGTAAAACAGAAACGATGTGAGGAAGAAGGGGATTCTGCATTAAAAAAAAAATAAAAAAATGACTCGGCTATGAACTTTTGCAAACAGGCTGGGGAAAGAGGGATATTTTCCCAAAGGTATCTATCACTGGAGCTTAATGGTTTTTAGGAGCACTTGTTGGAGATGACATTCTCTTTTAATGCTTAATTAATAGAGTAGAATAGCTGATGATGAATGGCCCAATAATTTTTCTCCTGGTAAGTTTTTTTTTTTTTTAATTAACATTCCCTGGTTTCTTTTGTAGGCTAGAAAGACATATATTAATATCAGGACAAAAGGAGAAACCACAACTCAGTAGAAAGTGGAAAATCGATTATTTTGGTAAAGTTTATGATTGCTAATATAAAATCATCAGTAAAAACCAAATTTGTATTCTTTGTGTGAGTTGCATATTGAAATCAAATTATATCACAGCAAACAACAAACGCGTCCTGGCCTTCTGAAATTGGTCAATGGTAATTTGGTAAATGTTGAAATGTAATGATTTGACCTTAAATGTTCTATTAAAATGAATGTGTTAATGTGATGTGCAAGAAGAACATTTTAAAACATATAAAAACCACACACGCACAAAAACACATGCTTAGGTCTTTGATAAATTTAACACCTCAAATCGCTGCATCAACTCAAAGCACAACATTTTTTGTAAAAATTGTCTCTCTCCAACTTCGCGCCAATCGTGAATCAACAACACATGTGCTAGTTAGCCTGGAGGCTAGAGCTGTAATGAACTAAAAAAAAAATCAACATCCAGCAATTAAATCACTGTATCTTCAGTGACTCTAATGCAGCAATCTCACAGTTTGTCTGGGCTGAGTCATTCTTGTCATTACAACAAATTAAATGCTGTACTGTGTTTTATTTGTTAATGTAGAGAAAACCATTGAGCTACCCCCCCTGCCTTTAAAGGCTGTGTCATTGGTGACATTTGCGACAGTTCCACAACACAAGGCATAGAAAATGTTTTAACCAACCACAGCACAATCATTGATTATTGGAGCCTGCAACACTTCAGATTTCCTAACTGCAAAAGCCAATATTATTGATCATGTTTCTGCAATTTTCACCCTGGACAAGTGTGAGCTATACCAATACCTAGATGCGAGAGATGTAGGCACAATTTCCATTTAAACTGGTCTATAAACAGTACACACTTTCATTTTCATGTTCCATCACTTTTGGTGGTAAATAGAATTGTTGAAAATATTGCAATTTAGAGAGAAAATGCACCAGCTACTTACGTGATTTGCGATGGCTATGCTCATGCCTGGTGATTGTAGTGGAGACCCGGTCGGTAGTGGTGTGCCGAGTCCACATCAGTGTAGAGTCATGGGTCGGGTTAGCTGGAGACGGGCTGGATGTTGTCACTCCTATGATTAAGGTTGTCCGTGGTACTGCAGTTGTAGTAAAACTTGATGGTCCGCGTCCATTGCGATTAACAGGATTCCAATGGGTTACTTGGCTACCAGAGGCTCCACCCCCTCTTGGGTTAGTTGTGGTTGTGGTAGCAGTGAAACGAGTTCTACCTTTTGCAACAGTTATAGTTCTAGGTGTTGGATTCCCAAGGTCCTCGGTTGGAGTGACTGTAGTCGTGGTGGTAGTAGTAGTAGTAGTAGTAGAAGTCGTGACTGTTATGGTATCAGCACTTTTAGGAATCCCACTTGGCTTTGAGAGAAAAATAGGATCCTGGCCTATTCTATTAGCATCCACCAAATCTGTTGGCACATAATCCCGGACCGTACCGACAACAATCCATTTCAGCAGCATCAGGCTCAAGCCGAGGCCAATGAATCCAATAAGTAAGGGGACCACACACAACCATGTCTGTTGGCGTGGCCAAACAGCACAACGAAGGGGACCTTGTGCCTGGGCCTGTCCCTCTCTACGGCCGGTAGCTCCAGGAGCCTCGGGTTCCTCCAGGATCACCACTCCAGATACGGCTGCTCCTGAACACTCACTCATCCTTCCTTGCTCTTCCTTTTGGTTCACTAAGGTGTTAACCCTGTACTATGTGGCATTTATAGAACATCACAATAAAGTTTTAGGATGACAATATCTGAAGGAGTTGTTGAGAAAAGGGGAGCAATCAGGAAAAAAGGCAAAAGCAGTTCACGTGATCACACAGAATTATGCGATTGTGCAACAAATATTCAGTCCAACCATGGGGATAAAAGGTGGCGAATCAGATGCATGCAAACACAAACTCGACATGGCGACATGAACACAGACAATTAGTTGAAAACTGTAGAGGTGGCGTAGACGACTAGGCACGTAGTCCATAGTTAGTCCTAGCTACATCAAAAAAAAGTCTGGATTTTCACAGATGGATAACGAGGAAAATTCAATGCGAAGATGCGGAGAAGAAAAACAGGGAAAAGACAGGTAAGTGGAAAAAAAAAACAAAAAAGTCTCTGTAGCTAATGTGTTAACACAGCATTAAAAGTCCGAAGCTTTTACCAGACATGCATCTGTCTTTCATTTACAGTCCAAAAACGCAACAGCGCTGTCTAATCGAGAAGATGAAACGTACTGAGTGGTTGTTGTTTCTTCCCCACCCTTTACTCCATCAAAGATGAAAAAATATTTCCTACTGCAGCCAGTATGGCTGAGTCAGCATGTCTACGCTCCAAAATCATCCTTTCATAACCAAATGAACCTCGGCACGAATTTGTTTCAAGTGTTCCTCCCAACACTCTTCCAAAATATGGCCAACCTTTGGTGCTCTTTTCTTCGAAGAAAAGTCAAACGTTGGATCATTTGTTAGAATCCACTTCCAATTCCTTTTTTTTTTTTTTGAGCTTCGAAATTCCAATGAGAATCCGATTAGTTTTTTTTTTAATCAAGTCAAAAGAAAACCCTTGAGACGAGCACTGATAGAGGGTAAAATTAGAGCAAGGGTGTTGTCATCCAGTTGTATCACAGGGTGGATAATTCTGTAACTGCATCTGTGTTCCTGGTCCTCCAGTCAGCTTTGGATCAAATTTCCCCAAGCTGTCCGCTCAGCACAGTACTGTCTCAGTGCACTGTCTGTTAATCCTGCAGCAAGAGCTTAGAGACCTCTTCCATCTATTTTTGAAGAACATTCCGCCACAGAGGAATCGACTGGGGAGAGAAAAAAAAAACAGAATAAAATGTGTGAAACTAAAAGAAGTGAAGGCAAAGCTTATAAACAGGAGGTCACGATGTTTCAAAAATATTCCATGGATTCCATCCTCTTTAAGTGGCGCCTTTCTTTAGTTGCTGAAAGCCTGTGCTCTTTGGAGTCATCCTGATTTGGCTGCTGGAATCCTCTGCTTGTCCTTCCCCTAGGATGCCTTCTCAGAGACGCTTATAGTTGTGTGTTGTCCACACATGCAAATCACACGAGAGGAAAAAAAAAAGAAAAGGAAAAAAGATCCACGTATCCCGTACACTATATGGACTTGTCAAAAATCAACAATGCAGCTGCTTTACCTGTGATTGGGATGCAGATGCACATACAGATGCCTCCCTGCGCTGCTGGCACTGAGAGGAGGAGAAGGAATGAAATGGGGAAAAAAACTGAGTGCAAAAGGGAGAGAGAGAGAGAGAGAGAGAGAGAGAGAGAGAGAGAGGGAG